AAAATAGAAGAACTGGTAAAGCAAAATCCAATTTTTTGCAAAAAATAAAATAAAATAAAGTAATCTAATTAGCCTACCTTAATCAAGAAAAAAAAAGAGAAACCATATATATACAAACATACAAATGAAAGTAAGGAAATTAAAACAGGTATAGAAGAAATGGAAATCATAAAACAGTACTTTGCAAATCTCTGTGCCTATCAGTTTGAAAACCTGAATGAAATGGAGGATTGTCTAGTAAAGTAGGTACTACCATAATTGATGTCAGAAGAAAGAAAAAAAAAAAACCCTCTGAACAGACTAATGACCATGGAAAAAAATTGTAAACATTATCTAGAAACTACCCCCTCAAAAGTACTAGACCAATAGATTTTAAATTTTTATAGCTCAGACATGGAAGAAAAATCTCAAAATATTTTTTATGAAGTCAGCAATACTAATACCAAAACCTTATAAAAGTAGTATAAAAAAGGAAACTGTAAGTAATCCTATTTATAAATATCAATACAAAAATGTTAAAGAAATATTAGTAAATTGTATTCAGCAGTATATTTTTAAAATCATGTAACTCCATAGAAGTGAAGTTTGTTCTAACAACTCAGGATGGTTCAACATTAGGAGATCTATTAAAATATTTTCACTATTAGAAGAAAAATTATTTAATCATCTCAAAATTCCACATCAATGTCTGCTGTTTTAAAAGAACTTCTTATAGAAAGGGATGAATCTTTATTAACATTATTTATATAATGGTCTCAAAGTCAGTAGCAGTCTTGATAGTAAAACACTTTGGAGAATTTCTGTTGTCAGGAACAAAACAAAAATAATCTGTCACCTTTTATTTAATGCAGTTCTTATACATTAGCCAACTTAGTTAGATAAGACAGAAATAAAAGAGACAAATATATTGAAAAAGTGGAGAAAAAATTTAACGTGTTCATGGGACATAATTAGGAACTTAAATTTTCAGAGTATATTTGGCATTAATTCCTGTTTCAGCAAAGGCCTGTTCACATCAGAAATATGAGCAAATATATTCTTGATTTTTTCCTTTTTTTATTTATTTTTTAATTTTTTTCCTTTCTTTTAAGGAACTAAGAACAAAAGGATAATGGAAAAGAAGCTATCTTTTATAATATTACAAAGTAGAGACATTGATAAAATGTGAAACCAAAAAATAGTTTAATAGTAAATGGAAAAAAATGTCTGTGCTTGTAACACCAAATCAAGTGGTAGAGTGCTCACAAATGTGAAATGGAATTTAATCCACAATTTGGTTAATTTAGTAAAAACTTCTCTTTGAGGAAAATAGCTTTATTTGGATTTTTTTCAAGATTAGGGCTTACACAGACTAGCTCACTTAAGATTTCCTTTTATTTTGTCAGTAGCGAAACAGCTCAATAATCATTTTTTCTTTGTTTTTCTCGTCTGATTATCTGAGGTCTTACTCCGTCCTGAGGATTTATACTTACTTAGAAAATGGTTAGACATAAAATAGGGTGATTTAATTGCACAAAAGGAAATAAATACATGAGGAGTAACTGCAACTTTTGAAATATTTTATTCATAAATCTTTTTTTAAGATTTTTTTTTTATTATTGAGAGAGATAATGATAGAGGGAGAGCATGAGAGGGGGGAGAGTCAGAGGGAGAAGCAGACTCCCTGCTGAGCAGGGAGCCCGATGCGGGACTCGATCCTGGGACTCCAGGATCATGACCTGAGCTGAAGGCAGTCGCTTAAACAACTGAGCCACCCAGGCGCCATTTATTCATAAATCTTATTGGCATCAATGAACTTTAGGAAACCACTTTTATATAGTTAAATACTGTAAAATTTTGGAAAATACAGACATGTAGAATAAGTGTTCTATCAGAGAGAGATTAATAGCTAAAAATATATAGACTGAAGAATAGCTGAGAAACGTCTGTATACTAACATTACATACACACCTTCACATATTCACTTATACTTGACTCTAAATTTAATTTTTCTTTTTATACAGGATACCAACTATTTTCCACAGAAGCGGCACCAGGGGATGCAAAACGTTAACATTTTTTTTTCTTCTCAGAAACAATCCTTGTTAAACTTATCATGTTTGAGAATCCCTGTGTTGTAAACATTCTCAATAAAAGTTGGTTGAGATTATAAATGTTTAATTTGTTGACAATTTTAAAAGCATCTTAAAATATTTTTTCTTATGTAATAAAGCTCTAAATAATGATGTCCCTTAGATCCCTGCAGCTTTTGACAGTACAGTTGACCCTTGAACAACACAGGTTTGAACTGCAAGATCCACCTACACATGGACTTTTTTCAAAAAATACAGTACAGTACAGTAAGTGTATTTCCTCTTTTTAAAAAATATTTTATTTATCTATTTTGAGAGAGAGAGAGCATGCACACAAGTGGGGGGAGGGGGAGGGAGAGAGAGTATCTCAAGCAGACTCCCTGCTGAGTGGGAAGCCCAACTTGGGGCTCAATCCCACAACCCTGAGATCATGACCTAAGCCAAAATCAAGAGTTGAAGGAACACTCAACTGACTGAGCCACCCAGGTGCCCCTATTTCCTCTTATTATTTTGTTAATAACATTTTCTTTTCTCTAGCTTACTTTATTGTAAGAATATGGCATATAATATATATACAAAATATGTGCTCATTGACCATGTTATTTGTAAGGTTTCTGGTCAACAGTAGGCTATTAGCAGTTAAGTCTGGGAGATTATAACTGTGCAGGGGGTCCTCCTAACCCCTGTGTGGTTCAGGGTCAACTGTACTGACACACATGCTCTTTTGTTACTTTTATTAAAGGCACTCAGAAGAGAGTTGAGTTTTAATGAGCTATTTTAGTTCATCCTATTTGGATTTCATCAGTGACAAAATCACCAGCTCTTATAAATACCATAGTGTCCAGTAGTTAACTATCTTAGAATGTGACTACCAACTAAAACTACTCTAGTTGGAGAATTTGGTCATTATCCATCAAAATAGTCCAATAAGCAAGTTCTGATTTATCTACCAAGAGATGTCTGATTGCTACAAAAATATCAGGGTTTAGCTTTTTCTACCACCTAGTAGTGTTCAATTTATCTTTAAAAAAAGTCACTTTACCTTGCAATATCTGAAAGGCAACCAGTCTTGTCCATTGCCAGAAAGAAAATCTCACTAGTAGAGGATCATGAACACACTTGGAAAACTTTTTACATCAAAATCAGTGTTTATTGGACACAGAATTAACCTCAGATGGATGCTTTGATTATCTCCCTTCAGATTCCTCTGGATTTTTCCCGTCTGACCTCCCTCTTGGATAACCTCCTCCACCACTGAGCAGGCTGGCTGATTAGAGGGGGTTGGCTCTAGAGTGGGTAGGATTGTCTTAAATTCTTCAGGGTAGAGACCCTCACAAAGCTTTATCGTCTAATGCCGACCAATAATTACATCTTAAATTATGCCTTTTACTAACAAAGTCCCTGAATTTCACTTCTTGTCAACCCATGCAAAGAATGTAAGGAAGAAAAGACAAAAAATTTTAAAAATGAATTGCTTTGAAAGTTGGTGACTTGAGAGGCTCGAGGGCCTCCTGCTCTAAAGCCACGAATATACAGGGCAACATTAGTGCTACACACAGTAGTAATTCAACTAGTGTGGATTTTGGATTGTCAAGATAAAAGGGAATCAAATATTAATTTAAGCAGTTCCCAGAGCCTCTTACAAATACAGAGAGACGGGGGCACCTGGGTGGCTCAGTCGTTAAGCGTCTGCCTTCGGCTCAGGTCATGATCCCAGGGTCCTGGGATCGAGCCCCGCATCAGACTCCCTGCTCAGCCAGGAGCCTGCTTCTCCCTCCCCCACTCCCCCTGCTTATGTTCCCTCTCTTGCTGTGCTTTCTCTGTCAAAGTCAAATAAATAAAATCTTAAAAAAAAAAAGAAAGAAATACAGAGAGACTTAAGTCATTTACACTTTTCAGGGGTCCCAGGATATTTAAAAAAATAAAGGAAGAAAAAATACCAAAACATCGTTACAAAAACTGTGGGATGTTTTAAAATATTTTATATTAAACAAATTAATATTTTATATACAAACACAACAAAATATATAGGCTCCCAGGAGTACAGGATTTGTATTAAATATTAACTGGGCACTACACATGAAATGGTCCAATACTGAACCCAAGTTTAAAATTGTGTCACTAAAAACATTTTTTTCTTTTCCAAATCCTATCAGTAGATCTCTGTGACCATGTATATAACCTTATTTGTTGATAATATCAAATGTTTTCCTCCCATTCCTGGCAGCTCCCAGTAAACACCCTTTCCTTAACCTAACCGCCAAGGAACCCGACTGTCTAGGTTTCCTACCTAAAGCCAGAGTTCCTGTCTTCTAAGGCAGTGAGTGGGTTTTTAATATGGGGGTGGAAAGCCATTGAGCATCTGATGAAGGTTCTGGTCCTAAACCCCCGATTCCTCCCCCCTCCCCCAACCAACAAATGTACACATACAACAAAATTACGTACAATTGGGGGCTGTGGGCTAGGGATCCCTTAAGATCCATCCAAATATAGGCTATGGGCTCCAGGTCAGGAAGCCCTCCTCTGGAGGGTTCTCTCCCCAGGATTTTGTTATTTCTCCATGAAGATGGGACTCGGGGGTTGAAGGGTGCCAGAGGTTCTGAAACAACTCTGAAACAACTTGCTGATTTGGTGGTGGTGGAAGGAAGGGTAGGAAGAATACGAGCACCAGTACTAGACTGCAAACAGGTGAGGCACTGCTTAGGATAGATGCCCTGGACCTGGTGCATCTGTACCCACGGCAACGCCCCCCCCCGGCCGCGTCTCCACGTTGCCTGGCAACAAAGCTGCCCTTGGCAGCGCGCATGCGTAGGAGGCCCTTGTTCGCCCCTCCCCCTCCCCTTGGGTGGTGGCAACCGCTAGCCCTGGCTGGCCTCCACCTTGAAGGAGACTTTGGTGTGAGTCAGGAGTCCTTCACCGGTGGCAGGACGACGCCGGCACGCGAGGGCAAAGGGGAACACCATGCAGGTGGGCACCCAGGGGAGTCCCCGTCTGGGCCTACAGTGAGCACCAAGGTGGGGGGTGGCCCACAATGGGTGGCTTCTAACATTTGTTCTGGTACGAGCTAAATTTTGCGTGCGTCTCTGTTGAGGTTTGAGGGAAGTCCGGATTGACTCCAGGAGAACACCATTTTTCAACATTCAAGACTTCGGTTTGTCTCTGGGGGGAAGCATTCAGAGTTGTTGAGGATTGTGTTTCACACCTGTGTCCTTGGCGCTGGACTGCTGCACTATTTCTGACTTGAGAAATAGACCGCAACTTTAGCCCAAGTGTAATTCAATTTAAATATTCTGCTCCCTTACCTTAAAAAAAAAAAGATCAGAACGGAAACCCAGTAGTTGCATTGTCTTGAGAGAGACCAACTGCCCTGGAGTTTCTCCTACCTGATTGCAAAAGCTCTGTTAGACTTCCGTTTATTCCTTAGGAGGAGGCTCCTCTGTCTAAAGCTTCCTTATTAACCAGAAAAGCCTGTGCCTTTGTTTCTTCTCTTGTCAGAGTAAAATTCTCTTTCTGTCTTTCAGAAACAGCTTCTTCCCACCTGCTCCCCCAAATTAAAACCACTGTGATTTTTCTTGTTTTACATATTTATTTTCTATTTGCATATACTGTATAAGTTACTAGAATATTTGAACATAAATTACATATAATTTTTAATGGATAGTCCTTTTGTGTTAATAATAGATTCCTAGCAAGTACATTTTGTCCAGTCTGTGAAAACGTTGCAAATTTATCTGGATTTATACCTGCTCTTCAAGAAATAGGCCAACATATAATTGAGAGTGAAATTAACAGCACGTTAACCTTTTTTCATTTATTCATTGATTTATTCAACAGCCAGTTATTCAGTGTTTATGTTTAGTTATGGACTTATCCTAAAAGAGTTTACTATGAGGGAATAAAAGGGAGACAGATGTTAACTATTTGTAGTATGATAAAAGCCATAATAGTTTTAAATAGATTGTGGTACCTATTACTTTTTTTTTTTTAAGATTTTATTTGTTTATCTGAGAGAGAGAGGGAGAGAGCACAAGCAGGGGGAGCAGCGAGGCAGAGGGAGAAGCAGGCTCCCTGCTGAGCAGAGAGCCCCATGCAAGGCTCCATCCCAGGATTCTGGGATCATGACCTGAGCCGAAGGCAGACGCTTAACTGACTGAGCCACCCAGGCGCCCTGGTACTTATCTCTATCTGATAAAATTTCATAGATAATTTCTAAAAGTGAAGGAAAAAATAGACTATAGAGCATTTACTGTTAAATTCCATTGCAATGAACTCCTAGATCAGTTAAGGAAAAGCAGAGAAGGTATAAAACCGTAAGAATGTGGCATCAAGAATATCAAGAAAGACCATTTTAACAAGAAAGGAATGACAAAGTCTCTCCAATTCTGCTTAAGAGATCAAATACAATGAATATCCATTGAAATGAACAACATGGAGCTTGTAGGTGACATTAGCTAGAGCACTTTTGAAAGTATTGGAAGCAAACTTTGGAGTGGGTTGAAGAGTTAATGGGAGGTGGAAGTGGTTACAGCTTATGTAGACAGTTGTTTCAAGAAGTTTAACCGTGAAGGAGAAAAGAGAAGATGGTAGGGGATGTCAAGTGCAGAGGGAGTTTTTTAAAAAGGTAGTGCTGGAATTTTTGATGATAGTGAGCTTCTCCTGCTGCATATAAGTAAAAATGCTGACTAACATGTAAAACATACTTCCTTAAAAGCATCAAAGGGATGACATGATAGTAAGAAACTATGAGACCAAAACTGAAGGGAAATTGGAAAATGAGGTAAATGGATTTCCACAGTCCCAAAGCCACTTTTACCCTGAAGGCATTAGCAGTCTGTGTTTTGATCCTGGGTAAAGTCACAGGGTAAGAAGGAATCAAAGGGGTATGGTCCACCAAAGGATGGTAGACTAATAGGAGTAGGAACAAGAGATAAACTCATGTCTACGGGAACTCAGGGAAGGTTGTCTTGATGCTTAGTGGAACAGGGTAGAAAAAGAAAAGGAATAATACCTGTCCCCAAGAAGTTGTGGCCCAAGGCAACTCTCACATAGATTACAACCTAAGGCATATTGTCAGGGTGGTCTAGCAAGCCTCAAATTATGAATTTGATATATATATATATTAGTTATATACTTAGTGCCTATAAATGCCTGGAAGAAATAAAAAATCCTCTGTGTAGGAGATATCTTTATCTTAGGCCTCAAAGAATTCCCTCAGGTAAGTTCTCAGAAATCAATCAAAAGTAACCAAGCACTCAAAGGAAACAGGGCACCATGAACATGAACCAACAGAAGACTTTTGTTAGAATGATCAGAAACAGGTTATAAAAAAATTATGTGTCTTAGTTTAAAAAAGTAAAAGACTAGGTTGAAATTACCTGCAGGGAGTAGTGAGCTTAAAAATTTGATGAAGACATATCTATACACTACAATGAATAATCAAAAAAAAAATTAAGAAAGCAATTCCCTATATATTTGCATCAAAAGGAATAAAATACTTAGGAATAGGGACACCTGGGTGGCTCAGTCTGTTAAGCGTCTGCGTTTGGCTTAGATCATGATCCCAAGATTCTGGGATCAAGTCCCGCATTGGGCTCCCTGCTTAGCTGGGAGCCTGCTTCTCCCTCTCCCTCTGCTGCTCCCCCTGTTTATGTACTCTCTCTCTCTCTCTCTCTCTCTCTGACAAATAAATAAATAAATAAATAAATCTTTAAAAAAATAAAATACTTAGGAATAAATGTAACCAAGAAGGCAAAAGACTTGTACACTGAAAACTACAAAACACTGCTAAAAGAAATTAAAGAAGACATAAATAAGTAGAAAACAATCCATTTTAATGGATTGGAAGATTTAAATTGTTCATGTGTCAATACTTCCCCAAACAGTCTACAGATTCAGTGCCATCCCTACCAAAATCCCAATGATATTTTTTGTCAAAACCCATCTTAAAATTCATATGAAATCTTAGGAGACCCAGAATAGCTGAAACAGTCTTTTAAACGGTGAACAAAGTTGGAGGACCCAATTTCTGATTTCAAAATATACTGCAAAGCAGCAGTAATCAAAACCATGTGGTACTGACAGAAGACAGACATATAGACCAATGGAATAAATTAGCCCAGACAGAAACCCTCACTGGTCAAATGATTTGCAACAATGCTAAGATCATTCAAGTGAAAGGATAGTCTTTTGACAAATGGTGCTGGGAAAACTGGATATCCACATGCAAACGAATGAAGTTGGGCTTCTAACTCACATTATAAAAATTAACTGAAAAAGGATCAAAGACCTAGATGTAAGAACTAAAATTATAGAACACTTAGAAGAAAACATAGGGGGAAATCGCTGTGAAATTGGATTGGCAATGATTTCTTGGATATGACACCAAAAACACAGGCAAAACAAAGAAAAAATAGATAAGTTGGACTTCATAAAAATTTAAAACTTTTATGCATCAGAGGACATTGCTCTCTCAATTGAGCAAAAATATAAACCACAGAATGGAGAAAATATTTGTAAATTATATATTTGATAAAAGATTAATATCCAGAATATATAAAGAACTCTTAAAATTCAATATCAAAAGGACAAGCCAATTAAAAATAATCATATGAAAGGATGCTCCACATCTATGTCATCAAGGAAATGTAAATTAAAATAAGAGACCACTACACACCTATTAGAATGGCCAAAATCTGGAGCACTGACAACACTAAATGCTGGCAAAGATTTGGAGCAAAAGGGACTCTCATTTATGGCTGGTGGGAATGCAAAGTGATATAGCCTTTGGAATACAGTTTCTTATAAAATTATAATACTCTTACCATTCAATCCAGCAATCACATTCCTTGGTATTTACCCAAAAGAGCTGAAAAGTTATGTGCACACAAAAACTTGCACTTGGATGTTAATAACAGCTTTATTCATCATTGCCAAAACTTGGAAGCAAACCAAGATGTCCTTCAGTAGGTGAACAGATAAATAAACAAATGTGGTATACCCAGAAAATAGAACATTATTTAGTGCTTAAAAGGAAATGAGTTATCAAGCCATGAAAAGACACAGAGGAACCTTAAATGCATATTACTAAGTGAAAGAAGCCTATCTGAGAAGGCCACAAACTGTATGAACCCAACTATACACCATTTTGGAAAACTATGGAGACTTTCAAAAGGTCACTGGTTGAAAGCAGGGAAGGGATGAATAGGCAGAGCACAGAGGATTTTTTAGTGCAGGGAAAATACGCTGTATGATACCATAATGATGAATACATGTCATCATGCATTTTCCCAAACTCAGAGAACATACACCCAGAGGGAACCATAATGTACACTGTAGATTTCAGGTGATTATGATGTGCTGATGTAACAAACGTGTCATTTCAGTGGAGGATGTTGATAATGGTGGAGGCTGTGCATGTGTGGGGCAGAAGGTATATTGGAAATCACTGTATCTTCCATTCAGTTTTGCTGTGAACCTAAAACTGCTTAAAAAATAAAGTCTTAATAAAAAAAATAGTTGCTGTTTTATTTTGGCTTTTTAAAAAATGTTGAAACAACATTTTATTTACTTATTTATTTATTAAAGATTTTATTTATTTGGGAGAATGAGAGCGAGAGAGAGAGCATAAGCAGGGGGAGCGACAGAGGGATGAGGGACAAGCAGACTTCCTGCTAAGCAGGGAGCCTGACTCAGGGCTTGATCCCAGGACCCTGGGATCACAACCCAAGCCAAAGGCAGACGCCCAGCCAACTGAACCAGCCAGGTGCCCCTTATTTTGGCTTTAAATGAAGAATTTGCTTTTAACAAAGGTAACAGGGGCTCCTGGGTGGCTCAGTTGTTGGGCGTCTGCCTTCGGCTCAGGTCATGATCCCAGGGTCCTGGGATTGAGCCCCGCATCGGGCTCCCTGCTTGGCGGGAAGCCTGCTTCTCCCTCTCCCACTCCCCCTGCTTGTGTTCCCTCTCTCTCT